ATTGTTTGGTTTTGTTTTCATGGAGAAAAATGCAAAAAACAAAAAAAAACACGACACTTTTGGGATTGCAGTACCTCATATCTCCACAATGGGAGCACTTCAGAACATAATTCAAACAGATTCAGGAAGCTACAGTGTAGGGCTACAACTTTTGTTTTTGACCATTTTTGGTAATTGGTCATGTGACCATCATCCCAACATCCCATTACATGGACCCTGATAGGTAAAATCATTCTCCTCTTGGTTTTCTTCACTTTTTGGTCAAACCAGGTGATATTTCCCTTTTGGGATGGAACCTGAAGGCAGTGCCTGATGTTCTGTATACCATTTTTATATATATTCAATTTTTCCGCTATTTTCTGGCTATTTTTGGATATATTACTATATTTGGAATTGGACCCTGGACCCTGACAATATTACCCAACATGATGATCAGCAATGAGCCCTAATTTTTCCTGATTTTATTGCTATTTTACATTTGGAAATGCACCCTGGACCCTGAAAGGTCAGCTGCCACTAAAAATGAATATTCAATGAAAGCGCCAGGTACACATATGAAAAGTGCAATGAAATCTCCTAGGAATAAGAATGAAATATCCATTGAAAGCGCCAGGCATCCAAATGAGAAGTGCAATGAGATATCCTGGGGCTAGCAATGAAATATCCAATGAAGGCACCAGGTATATCTATGAAAAGTCCAATGAAATATCCTAGGAACAAGAATGAAATATCCATTGAAACCGCCAGGCATTCAGATGAAAAGCACAATGAAATATCCTGGGGCTAACAATGAAATATCCAATGAAACCGCCAGATATATATATGAAAACTCCAATGAAATGTCCTGGAGCTAATAATGAAATATTCATTGAAAGCGCCAGGCTTTCAGATGAAAAGCAAAATGAGATATCCAGAGATAATGAATGAAATATTGCAGGAAATCGCAATACAATATTAATGAGATCACCTAGGCCATTTAATGAAAAAACAAAATGAAATACACAGGGAACTTAATGAATGAAAATACTAGACAAAATAATGAGTTGTCTCATTGAACCTCTAGGCATTATACACATCGCCTTCCAGGCATGTGTCTGGTTTTTATCATAAGAGTGTATACCACTAGTGTGACAGAATATCCTTATCGCGAGAGTTCTGGTGAGTAATTAGTTGCACGACGATTCGTCTACTAACTCACCTGACTCTAACTAATATAGGCGAAGCTTGCTTCGTTTGTGAGAGTGACCACAATTTGGGGGACATCGGATCATTGACGACCTCGGACTGTCCACGGTGCTCGCCGACCATCACCCTTGACCTCTCTCAAGGTCAACGTGTTCTTGAGCACATTGGGGCACACATCCTATATGATCCCGCGGTTATTCAATCAATCGAGCCACTTTGCGGCCTATGCCTCCGCCCATTGCAACTTTGCCAGTTCTATCTGGCGAAAGGAAAGGGCGCGAACGGAAATTTGAGAATTAATCAAAAGACATCGAAAGGGTGTCTCGTGAAGATGAAGTACTCTTATGGAATAGCAGCAGAGTCCACTGCCTCCTCGCCTTGCTCCAACGTGCCCATTCACTGCCCGATTTGCCCCAACGCTGACCCTGCCATCTGGAAGTATTTTATGAAGCTCCATTTCAAAGAAAGGCACAAGACCTTGGATCTTACGAAGTACAAGTACTTATGGAAGCTCTCCAAATTCGAAAGATCTGAGATGAAGAAAATCTGGGTCAAACGAGGGAAGGTGACAACGAAACACACCAAAAAGTCGAAGATACCCTCGCTGATCGTTTCAGAGAGCCACCATGCAAGGATTCCTGGAATGTCAGTTGCATCTTCGTCCTTTTTGATCCTTTTTGCCGTATTGAAAGGAAATGATAGAGAAACACATCGTCTGGAGATGGATGAGATCCCTGAGCATGAGGACTTTGGGGGGATGGACATCGATGAGGCAGACAGAGGAGATTTTGACGAAGGGGAGGATGCTGAGGACTTAGACTCAGAGTGTGGCGATTTTTTGGGGGGAATGACGGACAGCATGGTGGGAGCGGAAAGTGACGGTGTTGGAGAAGACTGGATGCAAGATGGTGATTTCGCTCCTGCACGAAATTCCACGGACTTTGAGGGGGGAGTGACGGACGGCATGGTGGGAGCGGAAAGTGATGGGCTTAGGGAAGACTGGATGCAGGATAATTTCGCTCCTGTGCGAAATTCCACAGACTTTGAGGGGGGAGAATTTGAAGCGTCAATCAATGACAGCGTGAGTTCTATCAATACTTTTGGATTGATGACAGAGACTTACCTTCTACGCATCCAACAGTCTCAGAACAATCTAAACCCTGAAAGTGGCAGTGAGAACAGTGGCGAAAAGGAAAGTGGCACGAAAGCAACATCACATACTGATGAGATGTTTCCCACTGAGGTTGCCGAGCCACCAGAAGTTGAAGATCCTGAGGAGGAGTCAGGGCGGTCAAAGCGCAAAGGTGTCCCTCGAAAAGGAGAAGACCGTGACGCACTGGACAGTTGCCTTTGCGGAATAGTCCTCAACGGCTCAGAGGACGAGGTCCTCAAATGCAAACAAGCTGGTTGCGAGACCCAGTGGGTAAGTGCATTGCATTATGAGAACTGACTGATTTTCAACTCACATTATACACCTAGTTCCATCTAAAATGTGTTGAAATTGTGCAAGCACCCCGGAATTGGGTCTGCGTGGCTTGTGCGGCTTCTGGGAGAGGGCGCGGGGGGAAGCGCTCATGCAGATGATGTCATGTTTCGACTGGTAGCTACCACTTACATCATGTACTCCTGAGCTGTACCATAGAAGTTCCTGCTTAGCTACCATGAATGAAATGAAATGAATTTTCATTCATTCATGGCACCTGTTTCATTCTAGATAATTTATTCTGTTTCATTCATTCCTGGTGACTGTTTCATTTTTTTATTTCATTCCACCATGGCAACTGTTTCATTCCTTGCTTCATTCTTCACAGGTGCCTATTTCATTGTTAGAGCTGTGAAAATGATTATGTAATTGATACAAAATATTTAAATGCCTTATTTGGCAACAGCATGCCTATCTTGTTGTGTATTTGAGCCTCAAATGCAAAAGTACCCCCATATGGCCTCCCACCCCACTGCAGTAGGGCACAACACATATCAGGTATAATTGTATATTGTTTCCTTATTTAGATGTGTATTAAAACATCGAAATTGTTGCCTGAAAGAATGAAACAAAAATGAAATAACTGCCTGGAAAGAATGAAATGAAAATTCCATGGCAATGAATGAAAAAAAAAATGAAACAGTCGCCAGGAATGAATGAAATGGAAGAATAAAGCAAAAAATAAAACAGTTGCCATGGTGGAATGAAATAAAAAAAATGAAACAGTTGCCAGGAATGAATGAAACAGAATAAATTTCATTCTTGTCAGTAGAAATGAAGAAAAAATTGAAATGAAATGAAATGAAACAAAAAGTATTTCATTCTCCACGGCAATGAATTAGAATGACTTGGAATGAAACAGTTGCCATGAATGAATGAAAATTCATTTCATTTCATTCACGGTAGCTAAGCAGGAACTTCTATGGTACATGCCAGGTTTTACATGATGTAAATGGCAGCTACTAGTGATGTTTCTATTTTTAGACACGTGCCTGATTACGTTAGTTAGTTAGTCCAACCTCCAGTCGCCTTTAAAAAAAAATCGACCCCGGGTCTTTTTTTTTAATGCCAGCACCCCCTTGGGTAAAGTATTGCAAAATTCTCCAGACAATAGTGGATGAGTGCTCACTGCTTGACAAAGTTATTCTTGAGAATGCTTTTGTGTACATGTAGCCGAAGAACATTGTCCCTCCAACTTGGTCCCTGAAACCAACCTTCAGGGAACACTTGCTTGGCGCTCGCTTCACATCAAAGCTCAAGATCACTGTGCTTCTGCAATAGTTTGACAATCCGGAAAGGTCCTTGATTTACCTGGTTTTACAGCTACTACTGTAAAGCCTCCTGAGTATCCTTACTTAACTTCAGAAACAAGGAGGTCAGAGTAAAAATAGACATTACTGTACTAATCCAATCAATTCATCGGTCACACATCACAGGGGGTCCGAAATCGATGAAATTCTAAGGGGTCACAGGTCACAGGGGCCAGCAACGAAACCACCAAATCAGTCAGAAAAGGAGCAAAACTGGGGTCCTTTTTCATTAGAAACTAATTTTTTTCCCTCTGCCTCTCTCTAGCAAAGTTTTCTGAACTGGCCTAAATTATCTATAGACAGAGGGCCACTCCGACATTTCGACGAAAATTTCAGGCAGTCACACCTTCCCCGGTGACGCGACGATTGGATTAGTACAGTAGAGACAGCAGAGATTTATTTATAGCCTGTGGGTGGTAATGCTTGGGTAATACTGCCTCTCGTCCTATTGAGACGCCCCTCTTCGTACTTGCGGATCCTCTTCACAACCGGTTTGCGCAATATCCTCGTGGACCTCCAAGCTTGTACAAGTCACCCCGCCAGTCAAGACGCCGAAAAAAGCTCTAACAAGGCTCAGCGCGCTTATCTCCGGATATGATTACGCTTAATGCTGCCGTTGGGCTTGGCATTTTGATGCAGGCGCTTGTTGGTTTTGCTCAAATTACCGTTTACTATCAGCAAGGTCAACAGCCGTTGGCGAGCGGGACATCGAGTGCAACTTCAGCGAACTACACCGGCGCCGCAGCATACAATCCTACTGTTCTCAATCCACCTGACCCGCCAAACCCTGCTATTACCACCAACTTTGCTATCCAGCTGCAGAATGGAGGAATGCCAGGAGCGTCAATACCGCAGACCGGCTCATTTTTTGGATTTTCTATAGAAATGTCTGTTGTCAACCAAGTTTGTGAGTCGTTCATTCGTGTCAGATCTTCGTCGATGTCTTAATTCTTCTTCAGTAGGAAAAAACTCGTTCGTTGATTTTGTAATGAGGAGGTCAACGAGCTGACGATCATTCAGAACTGTCCTTCAAGTTCCGTTTCTCAATCTGATGGCCAACCTCGCACAGCGTGTGGGTCGGGTAAATATCCGTGTCGGAGGAAACACACAAGAGACTGCTGTTCTCGTCCCAAGCACCCCGGACGGCAAGATCCTCGAGAAGGATATCACCGGCGCATCAAACCCAGTACGTCGTTTAAACTTGTCGAGTTGATTCTCCTTTAACCACATTCTCAGACACAAACGCCACCGTTAATCTTTACGCCAGATCTCATTTATATGATGGGGAACATCTCAGCTCTCGTCGATATTCGATGGTATCTTGGTATACCCTTCAACGATACCTCGAACTTTCGCCTTGGAATCGCCGAGTTAGGGGAGGCGGTTTTGGGCGACCATCTTGTTGGATTGCAAGTAGGAAATGAGCCAGATTTGTATGTTGCGCACGGTCATCGTCCATCGGTATGGCTCCTTTCATGAGTGGCTCACGTTGTAACTGATAGCTTTAGACCTACGGTCCCTACGATTATGCAGGAGAATTCAGCACACTTGTAGAAGCGGTGGCAAATGACAGCAATATTCCGAGCAAGAATCTTCTCATTGGTCCGAACATTGCAAGAATAGCTTGGACCCCAGAGATGGTATGGAACACAGGCTTCGTCGACAAGTTCAGCACCAATCTCGCATTCCTCGCTGTGGAACACTATCCCACCGACAATTGCTATGCGCAATTCGGACTTGGCAGCCCTCACGACCCTCAAGCTCTTTTTCCAACATATCTGAATCACGGGGCAGGGCAGGCCGTCGTCGCACCGTATTTGAATTCGACCGCTTTCGCTCAAACAAAAGGAAAGCAACTGTTGATGTTTGAAACCAACACGGCGTCTTGTGGCGGTTTTGCTGGTATCAGCGACTCTTTTGGTGCAGCTCTATGGGGCCTTGATTATGGCATGCAGATGGCGAACTCAAATTTCTCCGGCGCTCTATTCCACGTTGGTGGTCAGAGCGTATTCTACAACGTAAGACTTCGTTTTTTTATGTTGTATCCCTTTTGACAAACCGTTCACAATAGCCTTTCACTCGTAAGCAACCTTTTGTGTTTAGGCCGTCACAAAGTTCACCACCCTTCTCTAGCACCCCCAACTAATCAATCGACCTTCCATCAATGGACGATCGGACCCATCTACTACTCCGCACTCGTTATGGCGGAGGCCCTCGGGCCTACGAATTCCTCTCAAGTCCTTGACCTTGTGGCCAATAGCAATAACACGTTGACTCCCGCTTATGCAATCTATGAGAATGGAAATCCCGTTAGGGTACTTTTATTCAACTACATCACCGATCCTTCAGGCGCGAACACTATCACGGTGAACATCGCTATTGGAGGTGGTCAAACGGGTCAGGCGAATGCAACCCCTTCACACGTTCAAGTGAAGTGAGTGACGTATCATCTCAGGCTTTGGCGACTTTCTAATTCTGCTAATAGGTATCTTCTTGCTCCATCGGTATCAACAAAGGGTAACTTTACATGGGCGGGCCAGGTAGGTGATCGTTGATCCATTCGTCCTTCACCGACTTAACTGCCACTCAGACCTTCGGAGCTAATTTCGAATCCGACGGCCGCCCACAAGGCACCCTGGACGTACAAACTGAGCAATGCGATCAGACGGCGAATACATGTGCCGTTACAGTCCCCGCACCGGGCGTAGCTCTCGTTTTCCTCTCCCATGCCGCTCTGACGGAGGTTACCGACGCCGCTCCGTCCACCACATTCTCTACTACATTTTTAACAAAAACAGTAAATACCCTCACTATAGATCCGTCAGTGTTGGCGACGTCCAACGGACATGCGGCGATGCATGCCAACAAGGATAATCTTGGAAGCACGAGTAAGGGGAGTATTAGTGCAGCGGAGGTGACTGGGAGATTAGAGGGCGGTGCTTTGGTATTGTCAGCGATTGTTTTCGGAGCTTTGATGGTGGGAAGAGGGTTGGTTATGTGGTGAACTAGACAATCCAATAGTTATTATCGAACGAAACCAGGACTTATCATAATTGTGTACGTACTTAGTTGTATATATACTCTGTTTATGCTAGTGTGGCGGGAATTAGGCTCTTGTAATTTGCAGCTGCAAATTTGCCCTGCAAATTTGCGCTAATTTGCTGATCAAAGCTACAAGCCCGAAACCAGCATGCAAATTAGGGCAAATTAGCGAGGTCTTGAGTGAGAGAACAACGGCAGGTTTCGGCGTCATTTTCTGTTAATGGGCATGCTAATGGCTTCGTCGAGATCGATTTTGAGCGACGTCTGTGAATTCGAGGAGTAACTCGGGATTTTGCTCACAAACTCAATCATGTAAAACCTACTTTGAAAGTCGTTCCATACGCCCGCCGTCAAATGTGCACCTAAAGAAATTCTTTAGACTCAAACAGCACGCAAGTAGTCATCAGTAAATAAGTTCCCTCCTCGCCATCGTTGATCCCCCCGTGCAGTTACTTGTGCACATAACAAAAAAGTTGGTCAAGCAGACCCTAATTTGCGTGAATTAGCTAATTTGCCCTATTTTGCGGGGCTAATTTGCGCAAATTAGCCGGGCTCCCGGGGGCTGCGCCCCCGGACCCCTACCTGCAAATTTGCCGAAATTTAGGGTGCAAATTAGGGCCTCTTTGAGGCCCAAGCAAATTTGCTTGGGAGAATTAGGGTATGGGGCTATTTCCCGCCACACTAGTTTATGCAGAGAACACCAGGCATGGTTTCGGCCGGCGCCATTGTTGTGGCCTTGAAGACAAATGAGTAAAGTTTCTTGAGTACGCTGATTGAACTCTGTAGGTGTATTCGCTTCCACCCCCGCGTAGCGTTTGAGCGGCCGCAGTGAGCCTGCGCCTGGGTTCTTTGGCTGTCTTGAATTTTCAAAACTTGGGAAATGAGGACAGCACCCTGCCTAGCGACAAACCTCCCCTCAAAGTTCTCGCTCGGCGGCGGAGAGGGGTAGATACTCGTTTCGATTCGAGCCTGGAAATTGAGACATTGAGTAAACTGCGTCGGTGCGGCAAAAATTATCGTCGGCGCGTTATCACCCCTAAACGCGCCGTGACTAATCACGTGGTTTGGTGTTGAACGCCTGTCACTAGTCACAAGATTTGTGTTTTCTCCATGCAGCTCGAGTTCAAGTTGACCTCGAGGCCAGCTACTTTGCATGTTATGGCTTGCTATTACCCTCCCAATTATCGGCGGGTCATACTTCAATTCCACCAGGTAGGCATGGCAGAGCCCCTCTTGCCCACCAACCAGTCGCTAAGAGTAAAACTTGTAGTTGACTTGTAGTTTAGAATCGCAATGGGATCGAACCGCCCAACTTGAAGAACAGCCCGGCACCCAACCAGCGCAACATTCATTTTTTTTTCAGTGTTCTCCCTCCCCACGTTATCTTCTTTCCCCTTATTCTATGGCATGGAAGAGCCCCTGACAAAATCCATTGATTGGAATACTAACGCTATTCCTTGTATTCTTGCATAAAATTGGCCATTGCGGTCGTGAAGCATGTGAGTAGACATTATATTTTCTGCCGCTGTCATACTTATCGTTGTTGAGATTGGAGAAAAAACAATTCCAAAAATACGGTAAAGACCGATTATCAACTCACACCAATCACAGAATCAACTTTCTTTGCTGCTCATGAAGCTTGTTGACCAGGACCACGACGATCAGTGTCATGCACTTTCTTCTTGAACTCACGAAGGGAGTCTAGGAGTTGCCAACGTTTTCATTGTTTGCAATTCATCTCTGTGCATGAGTTTCTTGTTGACGAACCGAAGCAGATGGGCGTGCCGAGCATAGTTATTGACGCTCTGTAATCCTGGGCCAGGTCTTTTCACAGGAGTTTTCGACCTCGAATCTTGAACGTTGACCCGCCAGGGATCACTGGATCCTTCGTGTCCACTTACACCCTTTGATCTCGAACTTATCCCTCCAGAAGCTTTGTACCGGAGTGTATTAACGGATCTCTCTAGCCTCTGACCGCCCAGTTTCTGGCTTTCTACTGGTGTTCTTCTGTCACCTGACAGTTATGATTGGGAAATGCTAGAGCCGCCGCAGCTCGTGTTCTTTTTGGTTACGACACCTCATGATGAGCCGTTCCCAGATTCAAATAATGTTGGGACGTACATCTCAGTGTATGTCCGCGAACGGTATATGATCAACTTTCCTTGGTGAAAACTGTTGGGTTCGGGTTCAGTCAATATGCATCAGTGTCGTTCGCTTAAATATGTCTATTTCAGGATAAGAATCGACATGTGTTTTGGCCAATCTACTGGGTGTATTGAATTGCCGATTCTTTATCAAGGGATAGGCTTTAAGATCCAAGAGACCATACCACTCTCCTCCGCTCCCTCCACCCAAGGTGATGGCTATTCCGCTTCTGTTGACAAGGCCAGTATGGGCAAATGATTATTCTCAAATAACCACAGGCAAGAATTCGCGCATCCTCCATGATTTCTTATCCACCCTCGGATGTACTATGTTTTCAGTTAGTTGGTTCATTGTTATCCGTAATCATGCTCATACTCAAACATGATTGTGTCATAATCTGAAGTTCACTTCCTTCCCGCGGCCTTTCATTCAAGAACAATATTATACGCGCTGTTTTAAATCGCGAGAATAAGCCACTCATTTTCCCATCTCATTTTGTGAGTAGGAGGCTCAAACTTCATGAAATCACTCAACGTACTAAGTGTAGCGATGAGATGCCTTGGCCGCTAAATGCTACATACTTTTGTGCCGCGGCGCTTCAGGTTAAGGACACCGTGGCCAAGTATCATGAGAATTGTATCTCGTGAAGCAGCCTCGTGCGCATGATGACTGCCGCGTTCTGGGAATGAACGAAGTAAGATGATGTGTTATGCACACCAAGTTACTGAAGTAGATATCAGGTTTTGAGAAGGTCATCTCAATCCCTGTGGATTCAAAGACTGCTTTTGGCAGTTTAAAATAATACTGGCTTCCCGGTATCTGTCGCGAGTCCCAATAATCGAGCAGAAATCTTTTTTTGGAAGCGCTGGTCGAGCTTTCACGCGCAGAGTACCCTAATGCCTTTATTTTGAGTTGTCAGTGCCACGCCAGTTTCCCAGTCCCCAATTAATTATGGCACTTTCCGACGACGATTGACAAAACGTGNGGCGACTTGGGACTGAACTCCGTCTACTCCTTCC